CTGAAGTTTTTTCCTCAATGTTGGTGTATAATTACTGATAATATATGAGTTGTGTTTTAGTAGTCTTTTGGGAGAGTAAAATATACAATTACATTGATGTCCTTGAAGCATGACATTCTATGATTGTGAATATGTTGTTATTGTTCTTAATTATATGTTGTTTTATTTATGTTAGAATGCCTTTAAATGCAATAGGGTAGATGACTAATTTTTATTTTAATGTCCGTCTGGTAAATTATTTTAAATCATTAGACGCGTATTTTTTTACAGAAACGAATACTTTCTACGATATATTGATTTGTAATGGCGCGTGACGTTACTTCTATGTACATTTTATACGTAGAAATGACGTTTTAGCCCCCACTCCTAAACTTTGATTCGTTTTATTTAAGTAGATATCGTTTTATTATACGACAAAATAAAAAAATACTTGTCTAATATTTTTCATTACCTAACTGACGGACTAATTAGATTTTTAATTTTCATACCCTGTCATCATCCCTATTGCCGAGGACTTGCAATTTGCCAATTCCTTCGTGGACTAGTGTGTTGATATGTTACATTCCTTATTAATTTCTTTAACTGTAATTTGTAGGTGTAATTGTCGTTATTTAACAGAATTTCTAATGTTTCAATCAATCACACTCGTAAGATTCCTTTTAAACTGTCAAACACCAAGCGGTCACCGGTGACCGCAACCTATTGTTCTATAATTGTGTCTACAAAACCGGTACTCGACGAGTTAATTATCAATTAAAACAACAATTAACTTCGTAGTGTAAATCTCTTCTCTTCAAGACTCTCTGCTACACATATGGCGATGTCAACAAACTTTGTTCTAATAATTCCCTGGTTTCCGTATCACACATTAGATCATTTATCTTATCGTACGAGCAACGATATAATTACCGGTTGTTTTTGTTTGGTATTCATGCTTTATTGTTATGGTTTTGTATCGTATAAAATATTACAATGTTTTAATTACTTAGTTAAGTGTCTACCAGTGAGACTATCGAGCATGGGGCTATGTGTTCGGTTCTGAAGGACAATTCGTATTACATTATAGGGGCGAATTCTCAACAATTAAATATCAAGAATTGCAAATTATGATTTAATGCGAAAGATTAATGTTGGCCGAGTGGTCGCAAGTGCGACTGCCGGGCAAGGGGTCTCGGGTTCGATTACCGGGTCGGGCAAAGTATTACTAGGTTTTTTATATTATTTAAAAATTCTCAGTAGTAGCACGGAGTCTGGAATAGTGCCCGGTATATGGCAATAGGCTCACCCTCTATTACATGGGACTCATAACATAAATAGTGAAAAGTGGGTGTTACATTGTACAGTGGCATAATATGCACCTCTGCCTACCCCTTCGGGGATAGAAGGCGTGATGTTCTGGTATGATTAATGTTCTAGTGAAAAATCAGTTCTGTACTTTACACTGAATAAAAAACGCAATATGTTGAAAGTATGTGTGTCAAAGAAGCATACGATTTCAAAAGAAAGAACCCTTCTTTTGTTTCACTTTTAGGAATTTGAGTGCGACCGAGTTCAAAGTTGTTCAACTGTGTCCAAAGGAGCAATGACCTTTTGACCTCGATTCTAGTAATAAGGAAAACAGGAGTTTCGATAATGTGAACGTTATCCTTGTGTTTACTGCCTAATATTTTGGTGAGTGACGTTCTATGTGTACATAGTATGTGGAATAGTAAAATTTAAATTTTCCTGAATAGCCATTTATAGTTTTAGATACAGATTATTGACACAGTCAGTATAAAGATAGGTAGATTTTATTCTGTGTTTGACTTACAGAGAGATAGTAGAGGTAGCCAAAATAATTTAAATTTAATGTGCCATAACATCACTGCTGTATTAGTATTATCACTGTGGTTATCCAGTTGTCTATGGGCGACGTCGATTGCTTATATCTATCTATTTAAACAAGAGTTTATTTATTTATTTTTTCTTGTATAGTAGCACTATTTTATATGGATTGTCAGTATACATATGTGAGGACCATGTCAGACTTAAGATATTTGTTTTCTCTTGATTTTGTTTTTTTATTTTAGTTCGTTCTGTTATTTATATGTTGCGTCAGGTATGTCTTTACATTATTCTCACATGTGTGTACAATATTGGAATATGTATTAGAGCAGGGTAAAACAGACTTTTTTTTAAAAAGAGTAACGAATGGAGTTTCTTGCTCGTTCTTCTCCACTCGAATCGACATTTTGGAACGAGCGCCTAGCTTCACTGACGGACAGACTGACAGACTATTATTTATTTCATATTTGTTGATGTTTCAAAAGTACCAAATTATGGTTTAATTGAAATAAATGCTTTTGAATTTGAGTTTGACTTACCATCAGGTGAACCATCTGCTCGTTTACCAGTTTTTTTCCATAAAAAAAAACTATTTCCGTAACTGGCTAGTTAATTCAACACGTTTAAAAAGCAAATAGGAAAATAGTTATTTAGAGTACATATAGATATTTATCCTAAGTCAATAGATTCTGACACAAATCACGTTCCACGGAAGATCCGATTGTCAATGACATTGATCTGAGCGGCCGTGCGCGTGAGTCGAATATTGATTCAACACCGACAGCATTCAATCTTTGATGGGACGTAAAATAATGTACCTATGATTTGTTGACTCACTTACTTTATCAATATTAATTGTGCGTGTGCGCTGAATATTGGCGATTATCTGTCTGTAATTATTAATACATTAACATTTTGTCTTTTGTGACATTGCTTTTTTAATTTTGCTTATTTTTTTTGTTTTATTTAGTATCTGTTTCGTAACACTACTGTGTGACTGGTCGATATTATGTATCGATTCCATTAGAATGTCATAATAATATTCTAATTCCACAATTTGAAGCGTAGTAGGTAACCTGTAGCTTTTCATGCAGATTATTTTTCACTCCTACCATAATCACATTGGAATCTCCTCAGTTATTACCATATCTACCAACTGGGTGATTCTGGTGATTCTACAAAAAAATAGCAAACAATTAACGGCTTCATTTCCTAAACTCAAAGTTAACAATTGTGCTGAACCCTTTGAGTACCTTCATTATAGACACAATTAAAGAAATATAGGTTGCGGTCACCGGTGTCCTCGCGGTGTTTGACAGTTTAACTCGTCGAGCACCGTCAATATAGACACAATTAAAGAACAATAGGTTGCGGTCATCGGTGACCGCTTGGTGTTTGACAGTTTAAAACACAAATTTTGGTTAAAATGGAGCTGTGTCACTGCTCTCAACCAATCCAATAAAATTACTGAAGCTAATAAGTTACTGTGATGCTTAAAAACACTAGAGTATAATGATTTGTCAAATAAACGTTAAAGTTTTTCAAAGAAACTACCAAATACTGGGTATACAACTTTTTAAATTGGTGACCTCGTATCTTTTTTAATACTAACTACCTCTACATAGTTCTTGTTCATAGACACAAATGTTTATAGGTTGAGAATCACTGATTATGACCGTGCGGTGCGTCACATAACCATAGCAGATCAATTTGTGTTTAGAATTCTAATAAATGTAGGTACAAAAATTTGTTTAACATATTTCAATTTGACGACCGTATGGTAGTGTTTAGGGTTCCATAGTTCTGTAGTTACGATTTAGCCATAATTATGTTTATCTAACCGACCACCAGTCGTTTCGTCCACGGTATACTTAGCTCAAAAACAATTGGTACTAGAAAGTTGACAAATTAGTAAAACTATAGATAATACGGAATATGTATCAGAGACATTGTGGAACGTATTTTTTAAAAAAGTGTAACTAATGGAGTTCCTTGCTCGTTCTTCTCCATTCGAATCTACATTTTGGAATGAGCACCTAGCTTCACCTAGCTTCACTGACGGACTGACTGACAGACTATTATTTATTTTGTATTTGTTGACGTTTTAAAAGTACCAAATCATGGTTCAATTGAAATAAATGCTTTGACTGTGACTTTGATCTCTACACCGCTTTTGGCCCACACTTGACTAGTCTTCATCAGTTCTCTCGTTTCACCAATAAATACCTAGGTAATGAATATTTTAATAAGCATTTAGGCACGGTATTACGATTACTCATAAACATTAATTGATTGGTAATTAAACATCTATTCGTATTGTTTTATAAATTGCGCGGTGCTTTCATTACGGGTAATTTCAATTAGGTAAAATATTGATTGTGAAAAAGTCCTGCGGACCTGATTCATTTGTGGGTGTTTTATTGTTTTCTTTTTCTTTATAGAAAAGACAAAAGGCCCGATTGAGACCATTTTCAGTTAGGCTATAATATCAACTGTGCAACACATCCTGCGTAGCTGATTCATTATGTAGGTTTTTCAATATTTACTATTTCTTTTACAAAAGACCTTGAATGTTGTTAAAACTGTGAAAAAATATAAAATAATCAAATAAATAATCGAATGTAAATGTGGACAGTCCGATGGTAATGTCATTGTCATTTTAATTTATAGAAATGGTGGCAATAAATCGTCAATTGTTTGTCAATGACCACACGACTGTTTGCAGTCAAAGTCGACAGCGACACGGTCAGTCTACGAAGTGTTTTCAAATAGTGCTTGAGGTTCGTTATTCATTAAACGAATAGATTTCATAATTGGCATGTACATTCTGACGTGTTCAGTCAACTTAAGTGATTCAGTGGTAAATTACATCATTGTCGTTTTAGTCAGACGATGGTGATCAATTGAAAAGCTGCTGTCTTTTTTCAGGGTTCAAGAAACAAAAGCCCCTCTAAATATTAGGAAAGTTAGAAATAAGGCGATATTAAAATCGTCCTACGGAAATTTTTGTAACCACGAATTCGGTCCTGCTTTATGATAAATTCATTCAATTAATGTATCTGTTCATGCAAAAATGTTTACTTTAGATTTTAATAGACACCTTGACAGTCTGATAGCCTTTTCACATCTATACCGTTCTTATAGACTTTCATATATTCAATGTCATTCACTTTCAGCTCAGCATGTTGGTCGTGTGGCTGGTGGTTGCGTGCGCGACGGCTGCGCACGCGCTGCGCGTCGGCGTCGGCATCGCTGATGTCACTGGTCCACCTGCCGAAATCGCATTTGTGAGTAACTTCCGTTTATATGACCTTTCTGTACTTGATTTATGACAGTTTGATGACACTTTTATGTTGTAGAACTTATTGACTGGGTGAGTTAAGTTGAAAATGGATGGAACTGTCATGTATGGAAATTGTTATTAGGGTTTTTCTGTATGTTGCTGTGTGTTTAGGCTGTTATACCCGCATTTATTGATCGTATTTTAATGTAGTTTTTTTTTTCAAATTCATGTAATTTCTTTGCCAAATTTACGTAAGTTAAGTTGTTAGCAGAAAAGAGTTCCCGAACATATTACGCCTTGAGATATGTAAATTACATAATGCCAAAATGACGTCATCATAACATAACATTGTTTGAAGAAATATTTATGCACTATTCAAAATTCAAACTACGAACACAATTTTACTGTAATAAAAGTGAATTCAAATATAATGTCACTAAGGGCCGATTTTTCAATTAATAGTTATTCTTTACTGTATAATAAAATTGACATTTGACAGTTTTTAGTATGGACGATTTGTCAAATGTTTTAAGTTATTCCTCGGTTAAAATTTATCTAGCGTCGGAAAAATTGGCTCTAAGTTTATTAAAAGTTTAATGTCGAGATATATTTATCAATTAAAATGTCACGAATTAGATTAAATGAAAATGTCAATACAAATTGATGTCAATGTAAGTAATTTGTCATAGTTGGATAGACCCTTCTGTCATCACAGACCACAGTTCTATTGAAATCGCAATAAAATTATCGTTATCGTCATTTCAAATAACTTAAGCCTTTGGCCTATCTGACTCATTCTTTGTCTAAATATTACTTAACGCAGTACCTCAACATCCATTCATTAAGTTTTAAACTTAACTGTTCAGCTCTTACAAGTTTTCTTAACCAGTTTTGCAAGCCCCTGTTCTGTTGATAAGCTGAGTCACGAGTTTGACCTCACATATTTTTGACTACCATCATAAGTTTGAACTTGACTTAATTTAATGTTTCGTAATAGTTAAGGGTATCACAGGTCAAGACTGTAAAGGTAAAGACAATTACATAGGTATATGTTTAGTAATATAGTTGTAACAATTTTTGTTGGTCGTTTATGTGTGTATTGGTTAGCTATGCTATGCTATAAGTATATCTGTCTTAGACATAGGTAAACTTCTTAAACTGTCAAACACCAAGCGGTCACCGGTGACCGCAACCTATTGTTCTATAATTGTGTCTACAAAACCGGTACTCGACGAGTTAATGATGGAAATAAACTAAAATTAAACTATAAAGTTATACGGCGGATATTAACCGATCTCAATCTATAATCGATTTTTGCAATTACCTGTATGGACTTTCTGTCAAAAACCTAGCTCCATTGACGGACCGACTGACAGACTATTATTTGTTTTGTACATTTTGACGTTTCAAAAGTACCAAATTATGGTTTAATTAAAATAAATGCTTTTACTTTGAACTTAGATCCATACTGAGATTTTGGAGTATGATTGGTTCGGTTGTTAATTTCAAGGCATTTTTTTTAAAGGGGGAAAATCATCGAATGGCTTCTCCCGCTTTAGTGCCAGACTCCTACTGACTAAAAACCACCCCCTTCCTACTCTTGCCCTTCGAGCTGGAGCTTCGGCAACCCGATACGACCTCCGCGGCTCCGTATCTGTAACGATCCTTACTTAGCTATTTGTAATCATTTCGAGTTCATATATCCGTGTTGCTAGGTTGGGCTACTCCTAATTATGTAGGTTTTTAGTTAGTGCAAAAAAAATACGGACTTGTTTCTCATCTAAGACAGTTTATGTCCTGATTTGTATCAGATTTCATTGTTTTGGTATTTGTAGTTGTAGTATTTCAGAATAAGCGACAGGCGTATCAACCAAATAAAACCTTGTTTTATTTCATTCACATTCTTAAAATCTAGGCTAGGCTAGATACAATAACCTTCTTGAATACTTCTTAGAGAAATCAACACAAGACGCGGTTTATACTTAATTTTATGAATCATACAATTCGATTCCTAATTGGCTATATATCATCAGAAATATGTATTCTCAAATATCATGTAGATATTGCGTAGTAAATGCATTAAGTAGTCATTACAAAAATGTGTATGCAATCATGTGTTACAAATACAATAGCAATTAATAGTTGGTATGAAGACGTGTTGGCGAAGATAGCCTTGATATGAACGGTTTGATATTGCAGTAAAGTTATAATGAACTCGATACGGCTAGGAGAAAACAAAGAGACATTATTTTTGTGTTTCGCAAACCAATCTATGGGGGTCTTAGAGGTCGAAAACAAGGTTTATTAGAAGAAAAAGAGAGCGAGATAACTAGCTGTTGAATGCGACCACTACGGAGATTAACGATAAATGAAATGATTCTAAATTTTTTTTATGGCATAAGCCGGTAAACGAGCAGACGGATCACCTGATGGTAAGCAATCGGTATCATTATTTCACAAAATGACAGTAGCTAACGTCAAATCTGGAATCGATTTAAAATTCTGACTATAGTTTTCTGACCAATATCCTTAAAATTACTTTCCTTATTTATTAGTAGGTTAGTACATAACTACATACATATACTTGCCTCATTACTGTTATTGCTTAGGCCTTTAACTGCCGATAAAAACTGTTTAAGGCTGATCCTCCGCTAGCGTCGGACATCATTGTCCGACACGGCATCCGATGTGTTAATTCTGGTTTTAACTTCTGAATCATTGATTCCCTTTTGTTTGACTTCTTTACTTTATTTTTTATCTTATGTAGTAGTCAAACGTGACAATGCAATTGAATATGATTTATTTGCTTACCATGCGGGTTCCCTGTTATTTGTTAATATGCCATATACATAGATACAAAAATCTCGATAATATGAGATACATACATAATATTACTAATATTACCAGCACGTACTGCGCTGCTCGCACTAACGTAGCGTGTTGCGCCATGTAGAGCGAAGGTTGGGAGCGCAGGCTGCTCAGGCGCATGCAATGCAATGGCGCGCGCGCACGTGGTCTTTGACTTTTATGAACGTTTGTTGTAAGTAGCAGGTAGTTTCAAATCTTCGCTTTTGCGCATTTTTTTAGTCGTATGGAGTGTTAAAGTTTTGAAGACCTGAAAGAAAAGATGTTTAAAATTAGGGTTTTATTCTTTTATATTTCAAAAACTGTTGTAGAATTATCTTAAATACCAACATTTCTAGCTCAAGAATAAGACTATGAAAGCTAGACAAATCCACAAAAAATATAGTTAGGTATCTTATTTCCTTAATACAGTGCAGTAGTTATACAAAAAAATGTTTCTTGATTCCAGATGGAAACATTTTTTTCGTACACTAATGCCATCGTTTTAGCTTATATCTTTGGTTATGTCTGTACCATCAATTCTTAATTTAATACATACCATCATCGTGGTGGACAAGTACTAAAATACTAACAACATCTAGATATTGTGTAACCAACAGCATTCTGAAAGCATAACTACTCACTCATAAATAAAATTCGCCGACGTGGTCCACTTATCTGGGGCAGTGATCTCCAAGCGATTCAAGGTCAGACCAGACATGACTCATACCAATACAGTATGTATTTACAGAAGCGAGGAAGTACAGAGCCCGGCGATAAATATTGCACACCAACTTTTGGAAAGAGACAAATTTATTCATTATTTATTTATCTTTAAATCACATAGGTAAGTATGTTATAATTTAAGCCCCACAAAACCGTTGCAATAGTTTGACTGTGAGGTCGAGTCATTACGATTAAATATAGAATTCTATTCACCCCGTTTTACTGTAGTTACTTATAAATATTTTTTATGTGATACTTGGCTTCTGCCAGCGGTTTCGCCCGCGTTACTGCAGGATAAAAAGTAGCCTATGCCTTATTCCAGACTATAATCTACCTCTGTTCCAAATTTCATCCCGATCCCTTCAGCCGTTTTGACGTGAAAGAGTAACAAACAGACATAAAAAAAATAAAAATAAAAAAACCTTATATTTCGTGGAAAAAAAGAAAACCTAAATAACAATTGTTTTTTTTACTAAACTTAATCTATATTATTTTTTGTATGATTGATTCTAAATGTATTTGAAGATTTAAATGTTTTGTTTAGTAGTTGGTTTGTTTTCCAGAACCCCTCCTCGGGTGAAAGCCTCCTCCAACTTTTTCCTCGATTTTTTCCCCGTTCGGCGAATTTCAGCCAATCCAATTATATGAAATTTAACATTGACAAACAAACAGACATACAATTATAATAAAAAAAATATTTTCAATCTTTTTGTGAATCGAAGGAGAGTGTTTACTTTAAGCGGTTCATAGACGCGACGTCTGTACTTACGTCGACGACGACAGTTAGTCGATTGTCTCTTTCCAAAGGTCGATGTTGTTGCGGAGAACCTACCGGGGCTCCAGCTGGAAGCGCAGGAGAAGGAACGGGGTGGCTTTTAGTCAGTAAGAGTCTGACACTCCCTCCCGCATCACCCAGGCGGGAGCAGTCATTCGATGATTTTCGTCCCTTAAAAAAAAGATCGATGTGCAATAATTACGGCCTGTTACTGTACGATGAATTAGTTATACAAGTGGCAAATGATCACAAAATGTGTTTGTCAGATTAACGTCATGTTTATATTTGAGAAAAAATGTATTTAATTGATTGTAAAGTAGCTGGAGGTTTCTTTATTGTGTCAAGACATTTGTGTAAAGATTTTTTGGTGTTTTATCATTTAAATTAGCAATATTTGTCGGAACCTAAGAAATGGCTTTTATGATTTCGATGCAACTTTCGAGGTATGCTTTCTCTGAGGAAAATACTATGTCGTCTTTTAGATTAAAGCATTGCTTCGTCATGATTATGTTCGTCTTTCATTATAACAATATTCACATAATGTAAGTAGATTTAGAGGTAGTTCCATTTATTGTTATCGTCAATTTTCAAATTCATCTCAATTGCCAAGTCTTCTCAATAGGCTATACTACAATACCAAATAAAAATTAAAAAGGGTTTTCAATGAATACTGCAATGAAAAGCAAATTAAATATCCATTCAATACCCAAAAGCGTACCAAACATAAAGGTGGGGTTATCTTAACTGTGGGAAAATAATAAAACCGTCTTTATTACAATGACGTAGAGACCAATTTTGTTATTTTGGTACGTAAGTACGCTCGATTGTACTATCCCTTGTCCCCCAAACTACACAATAGAACAAACATGCAATGTGCAACGGTTCGAAAAGAACTTTCTGGAACATTTTTAAACCGTCTTAAACGGTCCAATCAGCGAATTGCATTCGAATTTTTCGAGAATTGGAGGTCAAGGCCAGAGCGGTGATTGGTCGGCATAAGTTTTGTGACCCGGCATAACAGTCATTGTTAACGTTGCGTGCATGAAGTATTACAATTATTATTTATAAAACATGAGTCGAAGTAACCAGGAGATACGGTTAGTGCACTCTTGCATGGAAAAGTCTACAGAACTTTCTAGATGACGTTTTTAATTGGGTCGATGATTGATGTTTAGATACAAAATGAAGTTAATGTTGTCATTAACTCAATTTTATGAGTATCATCTTTTTCTCACACGACAGGGAAAAATATCGTGTTATGAGAATTTTAAAACAAAGACTAGTAATATAAGTTCTAGATCTTATGAGGATAATTTACTTAGTGCATTGTTCTAACGTATCGGATTTGTTAAAAAGACTAGTAGGTAATATGAGTTCTAGGTCTTATGAGGATAATATACTAAGTGCATTGTTCTCACATGTCGGATTTGTTAAATAATCTAACCTAGAATTGTATCTATTAGTGCATACTAATAGAAAAGGGTAGGTAACTATGGAGTTTATTGCTCATTCTTTTCCATATGCTTGTAGTTAACTTGTCTAACATTTGACTAAGTACAAGTATAATCATTTTGCCAGCCATCAGGTAAAGAATAGACCCTCCTTCAATTGTTCTTAGAAAGGACGTCTTGGGGTCCATAACAAAAAAGACCCACCCTCTAAATGAAAAAAGAAAACCGTTAGGGTTTTAAATAAAAAGAACCCTACTAGGCCCCCAATAGTTTTGTTAGACCTTTGTTTTATCTATTAGGTACTTAGAGCATATTTTTCTGCAGTCCTACTAATAGCTAACGGCTGAAGGGATCGAGATGCAATTTGGAACAAGGGTATATTTTATGGTCTGGACTAGAATAACACAGCCTAATTTTATTCCATGGGGACAAAAAAACAAATAAATGTACTTCTCATTTCTCTAGGCATTCTATACTTTGGCCTTGATAACGTTCAACTGGTAATTGCGATTCTCATATTACTCGCCACACGAAACGTTAATTGAATTCAATCCCATTTGAGGTTATTAAGAAGAAGGTGGGTGATATTCTTGGAAACTGTATTCATCACCAATTACGTAATAGAAGATGATTAATTTGTTTTCTGTGGTATTCAATCCTTAGTTTGTCAAGAAGAGATATTACAAAGAGTACCTATAATAAGTATAGGGGAACCAAGTACCGAGCATATTTTGGTCTCGACTTCTTTATCTTAGTGTATTGAAGTATTAATTGAGATTTTGGGTTATCGAAACTTTTTAAAATCAGCAAAATAGACTAAAATAATGCTTGGTGTATCATCAATAGCCTATAAATGCCCACTGCTGAGCAAAGCCTCTTCTCACACGGAGAAGGTTTGAGCAGTAATCACCATCGCTTGCTTGCTAAATGCGGGTTGGTGATTTCAGACTTATAGTTAGAAATTATTAGCCCAGGCATCACAATGTTTTCCTTCACAGTTTGTCTGTGGTGTCTGAAAAACAAAAACACATTGGTACTTGCCGTTGGTAGGTTTCGAACAAGCATTCTCATGTATGAGAAGCGGGCGCTTAACCCTCCTGATATCTTATTGCAATGCCATGCGTCAGGGTAATAATAATCAATCCAACAAAAAATGGGTGCAGTGTACTTTAACAATACTTTTGCCAAAATCTTTGAGAGCAACTACAATTCCTAGACAAGCTCTGCTATCAACTTCGACCCCAAACAATAACATTACAGCATGCAATACAGCAATAGTCTACTTTACAAGGTCACGTCCACAATAAACCGGACAGCAATAACACTTACGCCGCGGAAGCAGTGTACCAGACCCTAACTCCCTATTGTCAGTACAATACCAGCAATTTGCTTGATAGGTTTATTGATCAACCTGCTTTTTGTTCAATTAGTTCTACGTTTTAGATTCTAGTGAAGTAATGTCGTTCTAATCTAAGAAGTCGATAAAGAATTTATTGATGATCTAGACGAAAATTTTCTTTAAATAAGGCGTTTATTCATTGTTCTTTGGTCTCTTATATATTATTATCCATTCAGTGGATAGTGGATTGATTAATATTTGTAAATGCGACAATGAGTTTGATTTTAACATGCTTTTAATTACACTTTTTTATCGTTCCAATTATAGGAGAATGTGCATGGAGACATGGCATAGATTTCCTGTGTCAGTAGATATTGAAATTGGTCGTCGCTAGATGTTGATTTGATGGTATCTATTCTTATATTGTTCAATCGTTGGGAAAGAAAAATAATCTTTGTTTACTTTGCAAACTGTTCTGTTTTCCACAACCCAACGTTCCTTCCTTGTTATTATTTATATCCACACTTACTTATACGTTGTTGACATTATCCTGTACTGTCGTAATATTGAACTTTGCTCCGTAAGCGTATAGTGCAACGTTTGTTTACTCATATTCTGCTTATGTTGTTACTTGTTCTGCAAATATGGGCATGTCATGTAGGTATTGAGTCTTTGTAGTGTCTCTACAAGGCGAGTTATTTAAATTCTTGTTTCCATTTCCATTCGTTTAATAGATTAGTTAAATGTTTGCTTCTGTTTTATTTACCTCTGTAGTTAAGATACCTAAAATGTTGAATAATTTGGCTAAAAATAAGTTCATAAACGTTGATTAAGTATTCTGAGTACTAGTTACCTTTCTTTTGTCGTCAGGTACCAATGCTTACTATTTATGCTTATCGCTTAGAAAAGATATATGTATAGGGTTTTTATTCCGACAATTTTTTATACTGTTTTATCTCTCTTGTTCTATTTTAGTCTCTTTCTCTCAAATTGTTTTGAACAAAAGTGCCAGAGTAAATGCCCCGTTAATCCTGATCCATCCTCTACTAAAAGTTCTTTATATTATCCTATGGAATGTTTTATTTCATCTCCATTATGTTTTGAATGGACTGGTTTATCGCCTCTATAAATTATTTTATTATTGTATTGTATTTGTAATAAAATAATAGTTGTTTTGTAACAGCACGGTGTAGGTTTTATAATAGTAGAAATGCCGTCAATGTCTCCGTCTTTGTTTACATATTTACTTAGAAATAGACATTATACAATACATATATCGTAAGAGATTTCACCTGTACTGTAACCTTTTAGGCTTATCTTTCTTCCTCTCTTTCTTTTTAGGGCATGCCTAATTTTAATATTAACTTTATCATCATCATCATCATCAAACTATGAATGTCCACCGTTGCTCAAAGGCTTCTTCTCACATCATGTTATTCGTAAAACTTCAGTTAAATATAAATGTTAATAGGCAAGATGTATGTATGAATATTTTTCATTGATAGCCTTTACTTAAAGGTATATCCAAAAGGATTTATTTATATCTAAAATCTTTATGAGTTATTTTCCTATATTTGCAGATGGGTTACGCTCAACTAGAACAAACGGGTCATGGCATCCATTTGAGGCAGTTTTCAAGAGCTTTCGTGTTGGAAGAAGGTAGTGATGAGTCAGCGGAGAGGTTCATCTTCGTGTCTGTTGATGCAGCTATGATGGGACATGGTGTAAGGAAAGAGGTAAGTTCCATTAAATTACCAAAAATTGAAATATCAGGTGCTTTATAGAACGTATAAGATCCTTTAATAAGGTTTATCCTAAAAATTATATTTTGCCTCAAAATAAAAATTTACTTAGCATAATCCACAAATTAGGTTTCATTTTATTATGTGTTGATGTAAGTATGTCGATTAATCAATTTTGAACCTAAATTTCAAGTCTTTCATCATCCATCTCCAGGTCATCAAACGTCTTCAGAAGAGGTATGGAGATTTGTACGGAGAGCACAATGTGATAATCAGTGGGACCCACACCCACTCCACTCCTGGAGGTTTCCTCATGGACTTTCTTTTTGACCTTCCCATCCTCGGCTTCGTTAGGGAGACCTATGCTGCTTACATTATTGGTATTTATAAGGTAAGTTTTATAATGTTCTTTAGTATCATCATCTATTAATGAAGTGGTTTCATCTATGCTGTTTAATTGATTATCTGGTGCATTTCCATCAAAATAATCCGTTGGTGCAGCTTAATTTACTTTCAAGGCTAAAATATAATTTAATTCATGCAGGAAAAGCCTTGTAGGTCGAAATGGTTTAATTAAATCAACATAACAAATAAAATTACATTAGGTGACATAATCAGATCCCGTATGAGAATATCATGGGGAATATTTATAACGTGTTTCTTAACATTCCAGAGTATCGTCATAGCTCATAATAAATTAACGGACGCACGTGTATTGTATGGGGAAGCTGAGCTTTTGGATGCTAATATCAACCGATCTCCTACATCCTATTTGAGGAATCCACCAGAGGAAAGAGCTAGGTAAGAAGCCGAATACACAAAAAAATTTAGCTACTACCGTCATTTACTTTAATTTATTCATCTCTATCTATAGACGAAATCAGAAATGGTTACTTCCCCAAACTTGTTTCACAATATACAGCTAACGCTATCTAACGGATAAAGTATAAACTAACAAAAATACCTACTGTTACTAACGTCAAACTTAGTTCATCATAGAGCTCACTAGATGGCGCTTTTTATTGAGAGCCGTTTTCTGAATCGCGGTGTTAAGATTCTCCGCCGTTGAACGACCCTCGCGTCGCGCCGCTGTGAACTCATACTTACCTGGCGTAGGGGATACCGTGATCATGAAGGCGGTTCCCCCAGGGCGAGGTCCTCTCATTGCACTGCGATAGGGTTGACCCCTGCGATTATCCCTAATGTGGATAACTCGGACGCGTAATTTTTGGTAGTGAGGGACTGCGTACGCGCTGTCCCTCTAAGAAATAAATGAAAATTACATAGAAATAATAGAGAGAGCAATAATCATTTACATGCTTTCCAATCAGTAAAGTTTATGATAGTGCCGTAAATCGCGTGGTAAAATTAGTAATACATAGTTCATCAAGTTGCAAATGGTGAAAAACAATTCAAAAATTGTGGTCAGATATTAATATGCAAAAAAATAATCTTCTCTTTAGCAATCTTGTCATGAGAGAATAAAATAAAGCAAGACAGACCTTCATAGCTAAAAGGCAAGCGAGAATTAATTTCATAAATAGAAACTTTTGAAACGCATCGGGGTCAAAAGCTTTAGTTAAAAATAACACTCTTTAGTATTTCGATGACGCGACGATAAAAACAGGAAACATTCACTAGCCATTTGAAGCCGTTTAAACAGGAAATTATATTAATATTTATTTACGTACATAGGGAAGGATACAAATACTTTTGAATTAATTAAAATGTAAGCCATACATTCTGGTGGTATTCGAAAAAAGCTAGCCTACAACACAGTTTCAAGTCCTTGACGACGTCATCGCGCTGACGATTTTTTTCATGGGATGCTTCAACGATGATTTCTTGAATGTAAAGATATTTTGCCTAAGTGACTCGCGCTCCTGCTCATGAATATAAGTCCCGATGTGACTTGAAATTACTAGAGCTTTTCTCTAATAGTCTACGTGCATAAGTCGTATTTTAAATGAATCTTATACATATTATTATATAAAGCGGAAGAGTTTTTTTTGTTTGTTTGTTTGAACGCGAACTACAAGTCTGATTTGAATAATTCTTTTTGTGTTGGATAGCGCATTTATCGAGGATGGCTATAGGCTATAAAACATCACGCTACGACCAATAGAAGTTGAGCAGAGCGTGTGAAACCGCGCGGAAGTAGCTAGTTTATTATATTGCACGTAAGTTAAATATTTCAATTAAAATTCCAGGTACAAATACGATACAGACAAGACTCTGTCACAGATTCGCTTCGTGTCTCCAGAGAATAAGATCCTGGGTGTGATTAACTGGTTCGCAGTACATCCGACCAGTATGAACAATACTAATAAGTTGATCTCCTCTGATAATGTGGGGTATGCCTCCATTTTGATGGAGAAAGCTCTCAATGGGAACACGACGTTGCCAGGCAAGGTAAAGGAGTTGATATTATTTATTTCTTTTTATGCGGTAAGTCGGTAAACGAGCAGACGGATCACCTGATGGTAAGCAATTGGCGTCGCTCATGGACACCTGGAACGCCAGAGGCGTTACAAGTGCGTTACCGGCCGTTTGGAGATTTTGGGGATTAGGAGTTTGAGGATTGTCGGGAATTCATGGATTGGGGAAATTGGGGAAGGGGAGAGTAATTGGGCCTCCGGTTACCTCATTCACACGAAGAAACACAACGCAAGCGTTGTTCTACGTCAGTCTTCTGCTCGTTGGTGGTATCACTCCGGTCGAGCCGGCCCAGCAGTGCCGAAGCATGGCTCTCCCACATTTAAAAATTAGTTTATTTTCATAATAGTGCATGATGTGATTTAAAATTTAGTGTCTGAACAGTTGATTGCTGCAAAAATATTTATCCTTTTATTGCTTAGCTACCAAAAATACCTTCATCAATTAATGTTACATAGGTCACATAAATATAATTGGGATGATGACAGGGTATGAAAATTAAAAATATAATTACTCCGTAAGTTAGGTAATAAAAAATTATTGGATACGTATTTTTTATTTTGTCGTATAATAAAACAAAACTTAGATAAAACGAATCAAAGTTTAGGAGTGGGGGCTAAAACGTCATTTCTACGTATAAAATGTACTGTATAGAAGTGACGTCACGCGACATTTCAAATCAATATATCGTTGAAAGTATTCGTTTGTGTAAGAATATAAAAAATACGTGTCTAATGATTTCAAATAATCTACCAGATGGACATTAACCCTCTGCAACTGACGTGGTTAAATTGTTACAATTCAACTGAGGTGTATATTATACCAGACACCATTTCAACAGCAAATATTTTTGTAGAATTAAAGTATAGCGAGCACTATACAGTAAGGTACTCGCAGCAGTGATGCTCGTATTTGAAAAATGACGGTATAACACGTGATTTTGTATTTCGCGGTGTCTGTGGGACTACACGTCAGCTGCAGACGGTTAAAATAAAAAATAGGCATCTACCCTATTTTCCAGGGCAGCATAGTTTGTGCCTTCGCGTCCACGAACCTCGGCGACGTGTCACCAAACACGAGAGGTCCGCACTGTGAGTTCTCAGGCAAGCCGTGCGACCAGGAGACGTTGTTATGCAAGAGGCCTAAAGAGAGGTGCTTCGCATCAGGACCTGGACGGGACATGTTTGATAGTACCAGGATCATTGCTACGAAGCTGTTCCACACTGCCATGGTGAGTTGAAGTGAGACATGGAATAAATAATAATTGAATGAAGATGTAGGTGTTAGAAATACATTTATTTTTTACTAGCGACCCGCCCCGGCTTCGCACGGGTGCAATATGCATGTATTATACATACAAACCTTCCTTAAGAATCACTCTATCTATTAAAAAAAACCGCATCAAAATCCGTTGCGTAGTTTTAAAGATCTAAGCATACATACGGACATATAGCGAAAGCGACTTTGTTTTATACTATGTATTGATAACCATGTTGTTTCTCATATTGACATATGGGATGATACTATTGCTAAATGCCTGCCTCGTATTTGCACGTTATTTAGCAATAGTGATATAACATAAATAACGTAACATAACATCACGCTTTTTATCCCCAAAATAGGCACAGGTGCATATTACGGCACTTAATGCCACTGTACAATGTAACACCTACTTTTCACTATTAATGTTACGAGTCCCATGTAATAGGGGGTGAGCCTATTGCCATATATCGGGCACAATTTCAGACTCCGTGCTACTACTGAGCATTTTTAAAAAAACGCTGTTTTAATTTGTTCGACCCGGAAATCGAATCCGAGACCCCTTGCCCGGCAGTCGCACTTACGAGCAAATGGCCAACGAGGCAGTGTAAATACTAGCTTCCGTATTATTATAGAAAATGATATATATCACGTGTCCATTGAAATAGCTGATTGAGCGGTATGAGAACCTTGACTGTGCAAGAAGATTTGAAAACTTGAAATGTATTTCATTAAACTTCAATCATAAGAGTATTCTCTAAATATCATCATCATCATCAATCGCCTATAAATGCCCACTGCTGAGCAAAGCCTCTTCTCACACGGAGAAGGTTTGACCACCACCACGCTAGCTCAATGCGGGTTGGTGATTTTAAACTTATAATTAGAAATTATAAGCCCAGGTTTCCTCACGATGTTTTCCTTCACCGTTTGTCAGTGGTGTCTGAATAATCTTAGAAAGTACATAAAACTCGGGAAAAGTCACATTGGTACTTGCCGTTGGTAGGTTTCGAACCCGCATCCTCATGCATGCCTCCGGGCCACCACGACATACTCTCTAAATCAGTGGTTCCCAAAGTTGTAGAGACTACGACCTATCTGAATCAAGTTACAAACCTCAGGACCCATATATACACGGCTGTCTCCCATGGTAGGCAGACTCTATGGATCCACTTTTAGGGAATGAAACTGTTACCAATAGGAAAAGTAAAATATAGAATGGTTTGTCAGCGTGTCATTATACAGACAAGGTCCAGTAAAACACTTGCGACCCACCATTGGGTCGCGGAGAACCTAACGGGTAACCGGGGCTCCGGCTCGACGTGCAGGAGAAGGAACGGGGTGGTTTTTAGTCAGTAAGAGTCTGACACTCCCTTCCGCCTCACCCAGGCGGGAGCAGTCATTCGATGATTTCCCCCCTTAAAAAAAAAAATGGTTGTTAAATAATGATTTATCAATTCCAGAATGTTCTAAACGAGCCGGGTGAAGACGTCACAGGTCCTCTGGGCATCAAACACCAGTACGTGAAGATGCCAGAACAAGCGGTCGCTCCATACGACCCGGTCACCGAGACCTTCAATACGGTAGGTATTTGGGATTCTTTAGGGACAAAGAAAAAAGTTTTTACGTTATATAACGTACCACAATCACGCCTTTTTTATCTCCGAAGGGGTAAACAGAGGTGCACGTTACGGCACTTAATGCCACTGTACAATGTAACACCCACTTTTCACTATTTATGTTTTGCGTCCTATGTAAGAGGGGGTCAGCTTATTACCATAAACAGGATACAATTCCAGAGATTTTTTTAAGAAACCCAATAATATTTTCTCGACTCGAGAATCGAACCCGAGACCTCTTCGGTAGACGCACTTGCTACAACTTGGTCAACGAGGCAGTCAAAAACTTTTTGTTGAAAGTAAAGTTCTACTTTAACAGTAAACGTAGACTTCTTAAGAAACTCATGAACGTAACTATCCTACAGCTGTAGCCGAATGCCATTTAGCGCTTGTCTACATGTACAATAGAAAACCAAATTATATGGAATTGACGTAAATTTTGACACTTGTCAGTGTCATCCCCATACATTAAGTTTTCTACTCTCTCTGTAGACAAGCGCTAAAGTGGCGTTTGGCTAAAGGCACTGAATGAATAGCAGGTGGTTTCCTACGTCGGTGTAAAATTTTGTTTATCTTCTATCATTGCTGCATCTATTCCAAAATTCTAACGATTAGCATTTATATCTTCAGAGTACAAAAGTTTACGGCTGTCTCCCAGCCATGGGCTATAGTTTCGCAGCGGGTACTACGGACGGACCTGGAGCATTCGACTTCAAACAGGGCACCACTACATCCAATCCGTTATGGAATGCTGTCAGGGACTTCATTGCTGAACCTACCAAGGAAGACATCAAGTGTCAAGCGCCTAAACCGATTTTATTGGCTACTGGACGGGTAAGTATAGGGTAGATGCCTAATTTTCATTTTAATGTCTGTCTGGTAGATTATTTTAAATCATTAGATACGTATTTTTTATTTTCTTACAGAAACGAATACTTTCGACGATATATTGATTTGAAATGTCGCGTGACGTCACTTCTATGTACGTACAATTTATACGTAGAAATGACGTTTTAGCCCCCACTCCTAAACTTTGATTCGTTTTATCTAAGTATGGTTTTATTATACGACAAAATAAAAAATACGTGTCTAATATTTTTTAATTACGTAACTTACGGACTAATTAGATTTTTAACTTTCATACCCTGCCATCATCCCAATTATCAGACAAATGTACCATTTCATAGAAGTTTGATTGCGTATGTTATTTCTTAAAAGGTGAGGAATTGTATGATGTGTGCTTTTACATTGGGAGTTAGAGATAAATACCATATTAATAAACCTAGTTTAAGTGGATACTGGATAAGTAGTAGCGGAGGTTTTCTATCACGTAGTCGTATATGCTTATTGCTCTATTGACTTGTTATCGAAATGGTCTTGCCCAAATGGGGCATCAGTGCGGTGAATGTGAAAATGTAACTGAATTTCAGAATATGGTCATTTATCTGAACAGGTTGTCTGTGATTGCAAAATTCATCCAACAGATTCTGACCTGTATGTGATACGTGTAATTTCTCGTCTCAAAAGCTTTAACCATATATTCTAAATTAACATAACATAACGTTACGCCTTTTATCCCCGAAGAGGTAGGCAAAGGTGCACAATGTAACACCCACTTTTCACTATTTATGTTATGAGTCCCATGTAATAGGGGGTAAGCCTATTGCCATATACCGGGCATAAATCCGGACTCCGTGCTACTACTGAGAATTTTTTTTTAAAACCCAGTAATAATTTGTCCGACCCGAATCGAACCCGAGACCGCCCGGTAGTCCACTCGGCCAACGGGGCAGTCTATATACTCTAAATTCTCCATTTTTATTTCCAGGCCAAATTCCCTTACGAATGGCAGCCAAAGGTAGTATCTTGTTCTGTGGCGAGGATAGGCGGTCTCATACTAGCTGCAGTGCCGGGAGAGTTCACCACCATGTCAGGCCGGAGACTGAGGCATGTCATCGCTAAGACTGCACCTGGTGCGAGGAAGGTCGTCATCGCCGGACTCTCCAATATCTATTCTGATTATATTGCTACGCCTGAGGAGTATCAGGTTGGTATTTCAGAAGTTGCTGTAATCTTATATCTTACTAGCAGCCCGTCCTGGCTTCGCACGGGGTAGACAATTATTTATTTTTGGAAATTTGGATTGTTGTAGTGACATAACTACAATAGTTGGACATATGCTACCGCGGAGTTTCACGTACACATTATGATGTTCTTCAATATTATTGTACATTATTTTGTTCTATCGCTAATAGTTTCGGCAGCGCATTCGACGAAAGACATTTTAAGACTCATTTTTCTACACCTTCGGTTACATTGTTCGAATTTTACCAAAGAGCCCTAATTTTTTTCAAAATGAAATGTAGCTTGTGTTAAATAGGAAGAAAGTAGCATTGTATTGGTGAAAGATTTTTTTTAAATCGGCCCAGTAATTTTTGGACGCTTGGTAGAACGAGTAATATAATTTACGTCATTAAGATTTAAAACTTTATTGTGAGCCGAAACAGACAGATTGTCTGAAATTGTGACAACTTTTTTTTTTATGGCATAAGCCGGTAAACGAGCAGACGGATCACCTGATAGTAAGCAATTGGCGTCACCCATGGACACCTGGAACACCAGAGGCGTTACAATTGCGTTACCGGTTTTTAGGGGATTAGGAATTTGAGGATCGTTGGGGATTCAAGGATTGTGGAGATTGGGGAAGGGGAGGGTAATTGGGCCTCCGGTAACCTCACTCACACGATGGAACACAACGCAAGCGTTGCTTCACGTCGATTTTCTGCTCGGCCGTGGTATCACTCCGGTCGAGCCGGCCCATTCGTGCCGAAGCATGGCTCTCCCACACTTAAACTTCTCAGTTTCAGGTGAATTTACTTTAGTCCAAGTAACTAAACAACTGGATTTTTTACATCAAGCTGCTCATCGAAATAACATTTGATTTTTTGTCAATATTAGGCGCAAAGGTATGAAGCAGCGTCTACAATCTACGGGCCACATACATTGGACATATATTTGAACAAATACGTCGAGCTGACTGAAGCATTGATCTCAGTAAGTGTTGCTAAGTTGTGATAGAGAAACTTTAACTTATTCTCATGAAATTAGAAAGAAAGACAGAAAAATTGTTTTGTTCACAAAAAAAATCAAATACTGAAGACGGCGCAAAAAGGCCAGAGCTCAGCTTAAATGCCGTAACCCGAGTGCGCAAATGAATGAGTCTTTTTATACACTTTCAGAGTAAAACAATCCCACAAGGTCCCGAACCTCCAGATCTAAGCACTCAACTGATCTCCTTAGTACCACCTGTATTATGGGACTCTGCGCCGTGGGGTCATGAGTTCGGTGACTGCTTGAAGCAGCCCTTCAAACAGTACAGCTATGGAGATGTTGTTATGACACAATTTGTAAGTATTAATGCCAATTATTGTTATTTGTGAAACGTAGTGTAGGGCGCCCTCTAGCTAGGTGGAGTGACGATATTTGTAAGGTGGCTGGTAGTGGTTGGATGCGTGGAGCTGAAGATCGAGCTTAGTGGTGTCCCGTTGGAGAGGTCTATTTCCAGCAGAGACGAGAACAGGCTGTTAATGATGATGATGATGATGATGATTTTTATTTTGTTTTGTGAGTTTTTCTTGTATTTTTCTTTACGTGATGTGGTGAATAAATTATATCACTATCTTCTTTTTATTACTGATTTGAAATGTATCATGTTTGATTCTTAGGTCCGATGTCATCCAAATTGATCGAATCGTTTTTTCTTCTGCATCTTTGTTTATTTCATTTAATTACAGGAAATGCGCTTAATAAGTTCGATAGATCGAATGTTTGAATGATCTATTGTAACGTTCAAATGAAATTTTTTGAAGTTTTTTGTTAACAAGCTTCTTCACTTTACTAATTCAATTTTTAAACCAAAGAACCCGGATAGCCTTAAAATAATGTTGATGTATTTGTAGGTATCTGGTCACCCCCGCAATAGTATCCGCCACGGTCGCTGGTACGCCACCGTGGAGCGACTCGAGTCTGAGGAAGATGACGCATGGACCACTGTCTTCACTGATGCTGATTGGGAAACTAAGTAAGTAGCTATTATATCATGTTCTTAGAAAAATAGTAGAAGGTTTTTTAAACAGTGTCTATAGTAAGATATATGTTTCGACTATGCCATTTGTTAAGTTGGTGACTCTGTGACATCTGTGATCGAGCTCTCGGATTAGATTCTCGAGTCTTAGTGGTAACACTAAGTTTGAGCTTCAGTAGTAGGGACATGACTTGTAAAAAGTTGGTACATATAATATAATATTATTTTATTAAAGACATATGCATAATTAGTTCATACTAGCCTGTGACGTCGCTCGCGGTCCCGTAGGATAAAAATATCCTATTGTTATTAAAGACCATATTATGCCGTTTTGTGAAGGAGCAACAAAGAAACGAACCAATAAACTTACTAATTTTTGCATTTATAATCACTACATAGTATAAAGGCGCTATCCGCCGTCTGTCTGTCCCTATGTATGCTTAGATCTTTAAAACGGATTTTAATGCGGTTTCTTTTAATAGATAGAGTGATTCTTAAGGAAGGTTTACATGTATAATCCACGCATATTGCACCCGTGCCAAGCCGGAGCGGGTCGCTAGTATTATTATAATTATTTCATATTTTTCACACTTTCCAGGTACACTTGGATCCGTGACTCCAAAGTGATGGGCACAAGTCGTGCGGAGATCGAATGGGAGATTCCCGTAGGAACTCCAAAGGGAATCTACAGGATTCATCATTTTGGAAACTACAAATATGTGTTGGGTGGCATCTACCCTTACCATGGATTCACGGACAGTTTCGAAGTGTCTTAGGACTTCGATTGACCATCTTTACTGTTGTACTACGCAACTTACTATGAAAATTAATATCATTGTCAATTTCTATTATTACTGTCCTTCGTAGTGACGGACTTAAGATATGCGTTTGAGTAATTGAATATCTCACGTATATTAACTAACTAGGATGAAGGAATTCCCAGGGACTTTACTTGGGACCAATTTTAATCCTTTTGAGTAAATGGTGAAATGAAAATTTTGTTCTAAATAATGCCAAGTTATTGAATTATCTTTGGGACCAATCAGTTATAAAGAACCCCTAACATGACAGTGTTTATGACATTTTTATTCTATACCTATGTTATAAGTAGGTACTGTTTTGTAGTAATATGCCAATATTCTACGAGTAAGTTCCAAACTATGGCCACTCGTTAGAGCTTTCCATTGGGTTATGTAAATTTAATCATTATTATACTTTCTTTTAAGGTTTATTTATAAATGTTAATAGCGTTTACTTGCGCGGGCGCATTGCGTTCCTTTTAGCTGTAAGAAGAGATGAAGCCAGTTATTTCTTGAAGTAAGTATAAGTTAACGTTGTATTATATAGATTCTTTATATACTTTACAATTAATTTTCTACTTACCATTAAAGACATATGCATAATTAGTTCATACTAGCCTGTGACGTCGCTCGCGGTCCCGTAGGATAAAAATATCCTATTGTTATTAAAGACCATATTGTGCCGTTTTGATGTGAAGGAGTAACAACGAAACGAACCAATAAACTTACTTTTTGCATTATAATATATGTATAATTATTTCATATTTCTCACACTTTCCAGGTACACCTGGATCCGTGACTCCAAAGTGATGGGCACAAGTCGTGCGGAGATCGAATGGGAGATTCCAGTAGGAACTCCAAAGGGAATCTACAGGATTCATCATTTTGGAAACTACAAATATGTGTTGGGTGGCATCTACCCTTACCATGGATTCACGGACAGTTTCGAAGTGTCTTAAGCCTTTGATTGCCCATCTTTGCTGTTGTACTACGAGTTGCGTACGTGCCTACGAAAATTTAAATCTTTGTCAATTTCTATTATTACTGTCCATCATAGTGACAGGCTTAAGATATGCGTTTGAGTAATTGAATATCTGACGTATATAAACTAACTAGGATGGAGGAATTCCCAGGGACTTTACTTGGGACCAATTTTAATTTTGAGTAAATGGTGAAATAAAAATTGGGTTGTAAATAATGCCAAGTTATTGAGTTATCTTTGGGACCAATCAGTTATAAAGAAGGGGTTATTAACATGACGGTGTTTATGACATTTTTATTCTATACCTATGTTATAAGTAGGTACTGTTTTGTAGTAATATGCCAATATTCTACGCGTAAGTTCCAAACTATGGCCACTCGTTAGAGCTTTCTATTGGGTTATGTGAATTTAATCCTTATTATACTTTCTTTTAAGGTTTATTTATAAATGTTAATAGCGTTTACTTGCGCGGGCGCATTGCGTTCCTTTTAGCTGTAAGAAGAGATGAAGCCAGTTATTTCTTGAAGTAAGTATAAGTTAACGTTGTATTATATAGATTCTTTATATACTTTACAATTAATTTTCTACTTACCTTTAACCGGTGAAATTGTTTATTTTAATTATTTTCAACTGGTTTTTACAGTGTCTGTATAGCTGCTATTTAGGGCTTTCTCAGGTTCCGATAAGTTTCTGATAAAAACTAACAAGACTCCAAAATACACGTGACTATTTGCTCGTTTGTCCATCGTCCCATAGAAAAAGACAGAACTTAATCATTTTATTATATTTTAGCTATAGTAGTAGCTAAGAAATAATAAAACGGCTTTTATCATGACTATCGTGAGACATACTGAATTAACTAAAAATCGCAAGTTGAAAAGCTCTACTAGTTTCGAGTCAAAGAGGGACTCTTCCTCATGAGCAGCGCGTGCGGTCGCGGCGGCGTCGCGCAGTCTACTCTGCGCAGAATCGAAACTAGTAGAGCTTTTCTGAGTATATGTGTTTACGTTAGTAACTTGTGATTTTTAGTTAATTTACTCCTAAAGTCCTACGGTGTTTAGTTTTAGGTAAATTAATCTATGGTCGAGTTGGCCCGGAGGTTTAATACGCGCTCTTCTCATGCACGAGGGTGCGTGTTCGAAACCTACTAACGGCAAGTACCAATGTGACTTTTTCCAAGTTATATGTGCTTTATAAGATTATCTAGACACCACTGAAAAAACGGTGAAGGAAAACATCGTGAGAAAACCTGGGCTTATAATTTCTAATTACAAGTTTGAAATAGCCAACCCGCATTGAGCAAGCGTGGTGATTAATGCTCAAAACCTTCGCCTTGTGAGAAGAGGCTTTGCTCAGCAGTGGGCATATATGTAGGCTGTTGAAATCGAAAAAATAATCTGAAACTTATCGGTGTCTTGAAAACTGTATACATAGCTCGTAAAACGTTGTATTGAAGCCAATTAATGTATGAACCAAAGTGAAATTCTTAGTTTTAATACTTTCTGTAGATATTTTACTTTACTATAGCTTAGAACAAGTAGTCTAGTCGCCAATCCTATGTGATTTTATACTCTTTACGTTTATTTACCTAATATTATGTATTTTCTTTATATGTAGGTATATTTATTATATTCATATCTAAGGGTTTATCTTATTTAAAGAGGACTTACAATAAGATAAAGTAATCAGGCTAATAAATATTATGCAAAAATGTAAATGTAATTACACTTGAGTGAAGATTAATGTGAACAGTTGTTTGTGTGGAAAATCTATTTTCTGAAAAAGTAGATTTGTTTCAATTATTCCCTTTTTTTGTTATTTTTTTAGTTTATTTAATGTAATTATATTTATATTTTTGCTCGCCACTGTATATTTAATACCATTTCTATAATTATCTGTGCTAAGTATTCAGTGTGTCACATTTTTTTCTTTCATAGATTAAAGTGTTTAGGACAACAGGTATTTATTTGTATACCTATTGTTAAAACACAATTTTTATATTATAAGTATTTTCTATGATTGTGCCTGTATTTATTTGTACCTAGAACTGAATTAGACAGTGTACGTAGACTTATAAAAGTGCCAATTTGTATGTAATAAAATATTTATGAATATATATAGAAGTCTTTATTATTTTTGATTCTTCTCCTGGTAAAAACTTCTTCCCAAGCTTTCCTATTTGTCCTATCTATTTTTGTCCTCTTGTTTCAGGTTTGGTCGGTGGATTTGATTCAGGGACGTAATATAGATGTTTGCAAAGTTTGAGGCCCATTCTTTACTTTTTACTAAAAACAAATTCGAGTGCCCCCATAAAAGTGTCCAGGGGGACATAAAAGTGTACCCCATCCTCAGGGGCGCCGAAGGACCGACAATTTTTACAATGGATACAAACCCGCTTCATGTTGCAGCAAGTGGCTGCCCCGCAACGTGTAGCGGGTTGATTCCCGGACGGAGCAAATATTTGCTTGATCCACAAAGTGTTTCGGGTCTGGGTGTCAATGTATTTTTTTTTTGAAGGGACAAGCCCGCCACTACCTCCTAAAACCGCTGCAAATCCTGTAAGCTAGGATCTTCAGTAGATACAACCATGAAAACACCGGAACACTGAAGTCCGGTGTCAGTCATAACAGTCTTGGTTCCCGCAACGAAGTGAATCAGAAGATATTTTAAGAGGAGAAGAAGAAAAAACTATAGTTTCCACTTCCCTCGGTGAATTACTGCAGGAGGCAGAGTGAATTAAGCCTAGTGTCATGTGTATGTGAACTTGTATGTTTGTAAACGCACCTACGATACAGGAGAAAATCCTAGTGTTTTTTTAAGGGGGGAAAATCATCGAATCGAATGACTGCTCCCGCCTGGGTGAGGCGGAAGGGAGTGTCAGACTCTTACTGACTAAAAACCAACCCGTTCCTTCTCCTGCACGTCGAGCCGGAGCCCCGGTAACCCGTTAGGTTCTCCGCGAAGAAAAAAATCCTAGTGTTTTTTTAAGGGGGGAAAATCATCGAATGACTGCTCACGCCTGGGTGAGGCGGGAGGGAGTATCAGACTCTTACTGACTAAAAACCACCCCGTTCCTTCTCCTGCACGTCGAGCCGGAGCCCCGGTAACCCGTTAGGTTCTCCGCGAAGAAAAAAATCCTAGTGTGGGGCAACGTTAAAGAAACATTACACAAGGGCCCCATATTATTTTGTACCCAATGGCCCCAGAGTGGAGCTCATAAACTTCGTCCGCAACAATCTGAAGGATATTCACTATTTATTACACCACCCATATCAGACTTATCGGCAAGATACACTATCATGGATTACCATAATTAATTAGAATAATTAGGTACCTAAACACTTTCATTTTCCAATTTAATCAAATAATTTATCAATAATCATGTTATTACGAACCCATGGAAAACAAATCGGACGAGAACGTAGAAGATAATTCCACGATAAATACTAACGTCACCGAAATACTTGAAAGTTGAATTGATTAAGATTTTCATGCACAGAAATAATCTATTTAATAACATAGTCATTTCGAGTTCATAGTCTTTATAGAACGTCTCATCATTCAGGGTACAGAGTGGCATCAATGGGGTTGATGTTAGAGACAGCGTCACGCCCACGATCGCCGTGTAAATGGAATCTTCCACCCAAAGGTTGCCTGGTAGAAATCACTATAAGTTATAAGACTGCCTTTGTAAAGAACATAACATAACATCACGCCTTTGATCCCCGAAGGGGTAGGCAGAGGTGCATATTACGGCACATACAGCCTTTGTACCCATTATAATTTTTTATTTATGTTTGTCATATCCCTTTTCTGTATGTACTATATTATTAATGGATATACAATAAATATTATTTTTATTACAATACCCTTCCATTCCATTCTGTTCTGTTCTGTTCTGTTCTATTCTAATATGACTAAGTGAAGATCATAGTAGAAGTTTCCATCTTAGAAGACGATCTCTACATAGGTTCCCTCTTACCCACAAATGCCTAAAAATCTGACAATGCTCTTGTCACTCATTTGTTGTTCCATTCCATTCCATTCTGTTCTGTTCTGTTCTGTTCTGTTCTGTTCTGTTCTTCTATTCTAATATGACTAAGTGAAGATCATAGTAGAAGATTCCATCTTAGAAGGCGATCTCTACATAGGTTCCCTCTTACCCCTAAATGCCTAAAAATCTGACAATGCTCTTGTCACTCATTTGTTGTTCCATTCCATTCCATTCCATTCTGTTCTGTTCTATTCTATGCTCTTGTTTCATTTGTTGTCGCGAGTGTACACGGACGGCTCTGATACTAACCGTGATACGTTTGCTCATTTACCCTTCGTCCCGATAACATTAATAGAAATTACTTATCTCCCCCTTAAAATTCAGAATATGTTTCTAACTTCTGTACCTACCATGATCTCGGAGAAACCCAAAAGTCATTCAGGATGTTCATTGATTAAAGTATGCCATGCCAAGTACATTAGCACTATTTCGTATCTACCTAAATGTCACTGGAACAGAATGTAATTAATGAAAAGTATCGCATAATGTGGGCGATAACAGTGATAAATATTTTTATCTACGTTACTTCGTTTTAGT